TACTGCGCCAGGGACCAGGCGAGTGGATACAAAGATCAATGTTAACTCTGTTTATTATACAATGCCTAGACCCTTTGTGCTGTAAAGAAATACCGATATTGTATCGAAACGAAGCCAACAGGGTATAGGTCCATCAAAATAAAACTTCCAGTTATACCTCCCATTCAATCGGTGCATACCTCAAGCAACTGGAGAGTGAAATGGGCTGTTTGTGCTATTCCCTATGAAGATATATCGGTTGAGTTGCTGGATGCAGCACCTATGGGTTTTTGTGCATTTAGACTTTTCAAATGGCCATTGGTAAACCACTGTTCTCGTACACTAGATATATTATGGAAAGTGCAGGGAGGAGGGATATGCTTTGGACATGCAATTCCTACGATGTAGCCTTTTGCAATGGACACTACACTGCAGTGCTATTATTAAGATTCAAGATCGTCAGACAGAGCATGACTAAACGTAGCGACATAGACTTCATTAACATGTTAAGACTGTTTAAATCGTTTTAATATGACGTATTTAACCCTCTGTAATGACCTTTTTTCTGGTACATGCTTTTCTTTTCGGCCTTTGATAAAAGACATTCCTGCCAGATGGGCACTTGCTATCACATCCCTTTAAAAGTTGGAGAGTGTCATGATATAGTTTGGATATTATTAATGAATACTTGATTATTGTTTAATTTTTGCTATAATAACAATTAAAAGCAGACGATAGTAGGAAGTTATGTTTATAATTCATTGATGTTGAGACTATCGAATGTCGCGTGCTATACAGTGACATCGAGAATATAGAGATTTCTAGAAGGCCAGACAATAGCAGAATAGAGTAAAGTTACGGCCAAGGAAATGTTCGGCGTGAAGTTAACTACCGCAGAAGTGATAGGCCTAACGATTAACATAGGCCTAACGTTTAATATGTTAGATAGAGTAAGAGTAACAGTAGAAAAGGAGATAAGAAGAATAATTTATTCCGTCAAAGCGTGGTTCTAAAGTAATTGAATCAGCCCGAGTACACTTTGACAAAAGGAACAGAAGATATTTAGAAGAAAGAAGACCAAAAGATTACGGTAATTCGCGCCCCAATTGTAAGTGAAACACACACAGAATACTAGTAATATAATAATATAGAGAAGATAGTTCGGCTTGTCAACTGAAATGATAAAGCAATCGAATAGGCCTAAGTTGATAACAAGAAGAGAACTATAGATATAGT